AATAAAACGAATATACAGAATGTTAAATTAAATAAAATGGATATATCAAGTTTTAAAAAATTAATTCTAGTAATTTGAAGTTTGTGTAGGTTAAGGTATTATCAATATTTAATATCATATAAATATTAAATTACACAATGAAGATATCAAAAATTAGTTCGTCTATACTCTTCATTATAATTTTATCATAAATGAGTTATTTATCATTGTATTTAACTGACAAGAAACATAAATAGTTTATTATTTTCTTTGAATAAGTATCATTGCAAGATTTTATAGCATGACAAACTGATCCAACTAAATTACAATAATTTTTGCATTATAAAAGAAATTAAAGTTTTCTTCAAAGCTAATAAGTGTTAAAATTCTTTTTTGTAAAATTATAATGCACTCCTTATTGAGTGACATTGATAAAAGACAAATTTATACATAATTATAGTACATCATTCTGTTTCTATTGTTTCCTATACATGCACATCATATAAACATACTTAAAAAGTAAGGAAAGCATACTACTTATTTTAAAATGTGAGGAGACATAAATTTTCATACTTTTATATTTTTGTTTAGATTGGAGGTGTTCATCAAAAATATTTGTTTATATTTTTAGCATTATTTTAATACACATTGAAGTTTTTATATTTAACTTATTTATTCAAATTAAATTTTTTAATGAAATTTTTGTTAAAATAATGTAAAATTATTTTATCGAATATTTGGAGTAATGTTTGCACAGGGATTTTTGTGTACTTTTATTAATTATTACAGTAAAGTTGTTTTTAATAATAGATACTGTTATTTAAATTCTTAATGTTTAACTTAAATGTAACATTTCTTAAAATTGTTGGTTGGTGCCATTATTATTTACAGTTATCAGACATTAATATTATTTTCAATGATACTAGTCACTGCATCTTTTAGTAAATGTAAAACATGTACTTGTTATAAATGACAGTGTTAAATCATTTTGATTATTTGAGGTCTTAATTATTCTTATGAAGTTATTTCAAATATTTTATTAATTTAAATTAAAAGATTTAGAATTATTTTTAGTTTATAGAATTCTCTTCATGGCCTATATACAATCATTAATATATAATTAAATAACAAATTTACAGTGCATTAAGAAAGAGATACTTATTTTTCAGGAACATTTTCAAATTTAATTTATTATTGAGGAAGAATATGACAGTTATTCTT